AGAACAACTTCTCATCCTTCACGTCTTATAAAAGTTAGTATTGTATTTATTCATATTATGGCTGTCAACCTATCAAGTGCTTCTAGAGCCTTTGAAACTAGTTTGAACTACACTTGAATATTTTAGTGTTAAGTTCTAGTAGATAAAAAAGAAAAAAAAAACGTTCCCAATGTTATTATTCCAATTTGAAGTTACTATGCAAATACTTTAAACTTTGTTCGTCATGGACGTAGGAGGTCAGTTTCTGACCCTGGATTTTACTGGGTTTTTTGATTGATTTCAAAAATCGATTTTTCTTCTAGGTTTATAGAGTTCAAAGTCTATAATAATCTGTGTTAAGGCATTAAATTCTTCCCCCGAAAATTCAATTTTATATCGGGTTTTTAGAGTTCAAAGTTCACAATATACCTCTAGCAAAAATGCAAGTCATGTAGTAAGGATTTATGAAGTGGATATTGCAATAAATTCTCCCATCAAAAATTTTTTATTGGGTTTTTAAGAGTAAAAAGGTCATAATGAGGCTTGAATTGCATTAAATGCCAGTAAAACATCGTTCAGTAGGTAAATAAGATGATATTATTTTATTTGTTTTACTAAACTTTGCTCTATACTAAGATATTCTATATTATATAGATATTCTATCTGAATATCTAGTTTTGTAGTATTATCTTAGTTTGAGCCAGTGCTTAAAGCCGCACTTAAGCCGCGCTTAAAGCACTATGTAGAGGTACATTATATATATATAAGTCTGACACTCTCATTCTCCTCACCCGAGGCGGGAGATGTAATTGGATGATTTTTCACCCTCGAAGAGGTACCCAACTATTGTTTCAGAGAATAATAATAATAAGAGCCCAAACAAACTTTTCAATGAAAAATTGACATGATGTTTCGTAGCACAACATAACATCATGCCTTTTATCCCCGAAGGGGTAGACAGAGGTGTACATTATACCATTCTACAATGTAACAATCACTTTTAACTATTTATGTTATGAGTCTCATGTAATAGGGGGTGAGCCTATTGCCATATACCGGGCACAGTTCCAGACTCCGTGCTACTACTGAGAACTTTTAAAAACCCAGTAATACTTTGCCCGATCCGGGAATCGAAGCCAAGACCCCTTGCCCGGTAGTAGTCGTATGCCCGCACATGCGACCACTCGGCCAACGAGGCAGTCTGAATGATGTTTTATTTTACTATTCAAACTGCAATTAAGACGAAAGTTTCTACAGCGGTGACTCAACTAATGGTACATATCCGAGATCCGACATATTTGCCATTAATTCGTAAGTTACAACACATTGCATCTGCGTGGGATTACATAAGGCATTACCTACATTAACACTCTAATTACATATTCGGTATTATCAACAATTTCATTTGTTATGTAAGTTGTCTAGACGAGTGTCTATGTGTGGCTTTACTTTTCGTTTCATATTACTTGTATTAGTTCCTTTTTAAGATTAATAATGGCGTGATTGTTGGAATTGGACTGCCTCGTTGGCCAAGTGGTCGCAAGTGCGACTGCCGGGCAAGGGGCCTTTTCGACTCCCGGGTCGGGCAAAGTACTATTGGTTTTTTTTTAATTCTTAGTAGTAGCACGGACTCTGAAATTGTGCCCGGTATATGGCAATAGGCTCATAACATAAATAGTGAAAAGTGGGTGTTACATTGTACAGTGGCATAATGTACAATGTTGTTGAAATTGGATTGCTTTTTGTTTCGCTTTTTTAAGTCTCCTAGTTATTTAATCGCTTGTTTTTTCTAGTAAATAACATAACATAACATCACGCCTTTTGCACTTATGCGCGAATACTGAAACGTTACTCAATTTTAAGTCGCGCTTAAGTATAGTTCTGTCACCACTAATTCTTTGTGAAATGACAGAGATGGCACGATATTTGAGCACGACTTAAAATTGAGTAACGTTTCAGTATTCCGGCATTAATGCCACTGTACAATGTAGCACCCACTATTCACTATTTATGTTATGAATCCCATGTAATAGGGGGTGAGCCTATTGCCATATACCGGGTATAATATATATTTTCTAGTATATGTAGGTAATTGACCGACTGACACTGATTTTTAGGTTTCCTGATTGTTTAGTTACTAATTCCCGCACGGAACAACACTTTGTGCGATCCATAAATTGTTGTTTCGGGTTTGGGTGTCATTGTGTATGTGAACTTGTATGTTTGTAAACGCACCCACGACACAGGAGATAATCCTAGTGTGGGGCAACGTTTTTATAAAAAAAAAAAAAAATCCGAAGTCGGGGAAACTATATGTATAAGGCAGGGTTTTAAGTTTTTGAAAATTTCTCTGTAATTTTATAGATGCCTGAAATTGTGCCGTGTATATGGCACACATGGCCACACCTTCATCTCTATAACAAGGGACTTATAACACAACTGTTGTAAAGTGGATGTTACATTGCTTACCAGTTGGGGATTAACGGCTATGTTATATTTTAGTCCACAAAAAAGTATTTTAGGTACAACTGATGCAGTATCTAAGAGCCATCAGACCACTACAGATGGGGCCCAGTAGGGCTGATGCCTGATACGGAGCCGCGTAACGCCAAACGGGTTGCCGGGGCTCGAAGAGCAGGAGTAGGAACCGAGTGGTTTTTAGTCAGTAAGATTCTGACACTCCCTTTCGCCTAATTCAAGACAGGAGAAGTCATTGGATGATTTTTCCACCTCAAAAATACCTAAAGTGTCTAAGCTTTCTACGTGTAACTATTAGATCCAACTAAAGTTGATGAACTAGTTCAGTTACTCTGCTATGAACAATCCGTTGATATGAAATCAAAAGTTCCTTACTATACCGCAAGAAACTGTCGACACGAACTTGCACTATTACGAATGTAGTACACACGGCCACACATCAATCTATACAAAACCAGTTTATCCTGGTGTCGCGTCGCATCATCTATCCGCACATTTAACGTTCAGTTTATACTGGTTATTTAAAGCCGTGTGTACATGTGGCTGCAAACTGCAGCTCTCAGCTGTTCTACGTTGGTATCTTATTAATTTTGTTACAAAGTTAAGATGTTATGTTATAGAAGTCTTTATGTTCTTATTTATCTTTCGTTTAATGATTGAAAATGTATTATTTTATAATAACTATTGTGAGACATACTAAATTAATTAAAAATCGCGGGCTACTAACGTGAATATATTGAGAAAAATTTTTACTTGGGAATAAGCTGCTGTAACGTCCACACAGGTCATGTTGACATGTTCGTAACATATAGTTACATTTCTTGACATTGTTTTCATATCTTGTTCTATCTTGACATTTGCTTTTTCCCTTACAATTGTTAGTGCTAGGACCGTGCGAGACTTTGCCTCACCATTTCTTTTCTAATTACCCATATTCTGACAGTTTGAGTATTTGTGCGGCCTACGCAAATGTTCTTTGGGTTGGTATAGTTCGTCGAATCAGTCAGCCTCACCTGTTAATTGAGCTGACTGTAAACCGACACATGCGTACTGCCTTCAGAACGGGTCCGCTCAAACTGTTGTGGTTCTTTTCTCAAAAGGCCACTACAGAAAGAACTTGCACGGTTCTCACACGTAATCTATTATACATAACTATTGTCTGGACTTTAAAAGAGACAGACCTCTGAGTTTGTTTCGGCATTTCTTCTCAGAGTAGTCAGTTAGAAAATGTCGACTTCATCGTTCGCTTGATAAAATTGACGTGTAAAAGTGCTGCCTTGTAGCCTATTTGCAGAAATAAATTCACTTGTTTCACTTGTTTCAGTACTAGTTTCCAACCACAGAGGGGTTCTTCCTTATGAACACCGTGTGCGGTCGCGGCGATGTCGCGCAGCCGATGTAATTCGAAACTAGTAGAGCTAGAGATCTTCTCAGTGTTTCATGTGAGTAACCCGCGATTTTTGAAAATGTATTTGTTTATGTTTTTTATGCATCATCTTTATATACATCATGTTTATATTATACCTTGAGTGAGACAAGTAAATTTATTATTATGTTTTCGGCTTACTCGCGATAGGACGTGACGTTTGGCGCGTCTAGTACTTATGGCTTGAAACTAGTCGAGTACCTTGCCAAGCAGTTACCTAAGTAAGCCACAACATTATAGTCAATCTTTACTACTGATATGAAATATACGATTGACTATACGACTTTAAATATTATGAGTCCCATGTAATAAAGGTTGAGGATATTACGTAGCCATTATCGCGTACAATTCATATACGTATGGTGTTCTGAATGAGTTTTTTTTTAACATAAAAAAGTTATTTTTTTAAATATATAATTTGCTTTAAGTAAATCTCGCTCATAATTAGCTCGGCTCGAAACGTAAACTCGAGATCGAGTCGACCCGAGTGACGCAGTCATGCTTTTTGTTCATGCCATAATCCTTGTTGTACCAAAATTTGGTCCTTAGAGTCTAGAATGGGAAATAGCAAATTGAATCAAATAAAAACAAAATAAGAGTTCAAATTCCATGTTTATTATTTTTATGTTTAGTGTTACTTATAAACTAGTGTTAACATTAATTATATCACATTTCCTTTTTTCACAATCACTTTTATTCATAGTTTTAATTATAAAATAAGAATAATCAAAAATATTATGCTTTCATTCATTGTACTCAAAATAATCATCCGTTGGTTGAAACTTATTTTTAATTGTCAAATTACATATTAAGTATATATTTATTCATAGAAATTATTTATTTTCATAAAATAGACAAAACATATTATATCTTTAACATAATAATTGTAGTATATTTCATTGTCAAATTAAATCCTTGTAACATTTATTTATTCAATAAATAGCGAATAATTTTTCACGTTTACATGGGACTAACAAAATAAAATGTTAAATTTTATTGATATTGCAGACATTGATAGTGCAACGGTTTTATTAAAAGCAATTTGAAATATTTATAGTCAGAATTTTGGTTTGTTTCGTATGTTATGTTGAAATACCATGATTAAATTTTATTTTATTTACATAATAATCTCAGAATTTTATTCAGGAATAAATTATAAATATTATTTTCTCATAAGGCTCGTGAAATGGTACATAAAGATAAGTAAATGAAACCTATTGTATATTATTGTATTAACTGGTAACTGTGATGTAGATATATTTTAAATGAAAAGTCAAAGAAAAATAGGAGCAAGAGGCATGCTTTAGAAGACAAGTATTCTGATATCTTCTTAAGAGACAGAGAAAAATATAATTATTTATTTTCTATAAAAACAGTAGTTAACAAAGAAGCTATCTTTAAATTGTGATTGAAGTACTGTGATGTGTATATTGCTTGAAATTATAATGAACTCAAAATTATGAAGGGAATCACCACCTCGCTTCAAAATAAAAGCGATCCTTATTTTAAAATCGATATCTCCTAAACTCAACAAAACAAAAATGTATTACTACAACATACAACTAGACGAAAATACTTATATATCCTTAAGGTCACTTAATTTAAAACTAAACGTAACTTGGCAAATAATACCTAATGTTAAATTATGTATGGACACTTGTACAATCATTTACAACATAATAGTTAGTATACATTTAGGTGTAGTCTAATATTAGTTCACTTATTACAAAAATTCGTTTGATTTTTAATCGAGTAACAAGAACCTCCCTTTACTGGAAGTCTGTTTAATTAATAGTACTTATAACTATTTGTGTTTCTTTTATTTAAAAAATACTTCTTCACAAACACTATCTGCAACTATCACGTCCTTTTTACCTCTATATCACTAAATTGTATTATGTCATAATTGGATAAACGAAATCAATAATCGTAGGTAGGCAAACCTTTTGTTGCCTACAAGAGAGCCCATTCGAGGTAATCGATAAAATATTTGTAGACGAAGAAATATGAGCTAAATTGTGTTTAGAAACTGGTAGAAATCATGTTGTCAAAAATAAAAATAATAATAAATCTGTAGATTTGTTTACAGACAACACAATGTGTAAAGAAGAAATCGCGTAGTCAATTGTACATGAAAAGTAAAAAGTTTTTAGACAGACGTCGATACCTTAGGTCATTTTGTAATTTATAATCACAACCTAATTTGCGAGTTTATAGTCCATTAGACTACTTTAGCTATAAGCCCTAAAAACCTAATAAGTAGTTTAAAAATGGAATGTTATCTGCGAGTGAAAAGAAAAACGGACGGAGTTTCCATTTATACGAAAGATGATTAAAAATCTAGATACATTTAGCATTAACTTCAAGGCACATTAATTCGCCTGTGACAGCCAAGACAGAAAGTTAATAGAAGTGACTCAATTGAATTCAATGAAAATCTAAACATTTAAGCTTGTTTAGCATAATTAACTGTCTCTTAAACTTGCCTAAAGATTTTTAATCTAGTTATTCAAAGTCACCTAAATTAGACCTTTTATAATTAATCACACGGTCATAGTATCATTCATGGTAATGCTTGTTACATTAGCTACTACTTCCAGAACAGGAGTACTATAGAACTTGTCGACCATACTCCTGATGGACGTGTAAGAACCAGCAAAGAGGGCGATGAGAGAAATCATGGCAATGAACAAGTTCTTCCAGAGAATCCATTTGAAGGGTCCAAGCCCTCTGTCCCATTTGTGGACAGTGTCGATGACCGCTGGTGTGAGGAGACCGAGGGTTGAGAGGAAGATGGCACCACTCAAGTTGATGAACAGCTCCAAGTCAGGGAAAGCCGCTGCGAGGGCAACTGTGAAAAGAAATAAAAGAATATTAAATTTCAAAACAAAGAAAATGTACGGGCTGTTGGTTGTGAAAAAGATAATACAGAAAAACTATCAAAAATCACATTCCAGTTTAAGATGTTAAGATAAACTTAGTACGTGTAATTCAAACTAATTGGATTCTATAAATTAATAATTTGTAGTTATTATTCTGAGCATCTATCTTAAGTGCGTATTAAAAAGTTGTCAAAACATCCACAGCAATTCATTCAAAGTTTCAGTCCCCAATTATTCTTCTTGTCTCAGGGGAGAGCTTTGTTTTGTGATTTCTTATATTTGTGTGTCCTAACGTTTTATAACTTTGAACAAATTAAAATAGATTTTGTATATTTTTTTAAAAGGTGATGAATTGTAAAACCATGGATGATTTAGGTTTATCACTGGCTGCAATTATTTTGAAAGGCTTTAACTTTGTCTTCTGGAGAGCATTCTTACCTGAACCAACAACTGCAGTGGTCCTAATAGAGATTTGTGTGATGTTGTGGTATCTCACAGAGATCTTTTCATTTAGCTGTCTCCAGATCATTTCCATGGGTACGTAGAACTGTAGACTGTAGGTGAACAGGATTGCTAACGCCATCAGGATCTTTGCACTCTGAGCGAGCCTGTAAAGTCAAGATTAAAAATATACACAAATTATTATTGTGCTAGGTAAGATTTGCATTGTATAATATGCATATGAGATTTAGTTGTAAATGCAGTTACGATTTGGAAGAAGATCATGGTAACGAACATGTTTTTGAAGGAAATTTTTGCGATAATTTTGTTTTAATTAGGTTTATATAGATAAAGAAACTACTCACACTTCATCCTGAGGCAGATTCAAAGTGACACTCCCTCTGACATCGTCTCCATACTTCATGTAACCAAAGAACCCAACGATGCCATATAGAGAGATAACAATGGTCATAGCCACGTTCAGTACTCCAGGACAGCCGAGGAACTGTTGAGGTTTGGCCATCTCGTTCTCAACTGGCATCACCACACCAATGCCTTCCATTGCAAATATCACTGTACTGGAAAGAGATGAAGATAGTTTTCATACTTTCATTTTAGTTTAGTCATTGCGGTTATAGTTATGGGTGAATAGAAATTTTAAATGAACTGCTGAATAATGCTTGTTTTACTACTTTGTTTGTCGAGTGGTCTTACAGTTGTGAATGGTGATTAAAGGTTTTGGCTGAAGCTTAATTCGTTGGGTTTTCTTTTATTAAAATCTTTTTTTTATGTGTATGTCAGATTAAGGTATTGTGCGATAAATTCAAGACTATTCAGATTTTTTATGGTACTAATCAAGCATTAGGGTGTCCCTTATTTTTCGAAGTTAAAATTTTTTGACGCATACGTCTTAGTTTTGTTCATTTGTACTTAAAACACAAGAAAATAAAATTTTACCATATTTGGAGTACGAGAACCCGTGCCGACTTGCATCGAAACTTATTCATACAAGTTGCGCTGGAGTAGCGGTTCGCACTCACGGTAATAAGTCATTCTTGGGTAGTTATTGTCGTAGTAACCACCGATTGTTTACCCTTACAAGATAGCAGTAACATTGAGAAGTGATATCAAAAGTATTTTCTTTGTTGGTGATGTAAATTATCAAATAACAGGCGCTAAGTTACCGTCAAACCGTCAAGTTGTCGCAGTACTTTTTTTATAATATTCGCGAAGTTAAATTAACCGTTATTAAAAGCGCAAATCTCGTCTTTCGCGAGTGTATTATATCCTGGGAAAAGGCTAGAATCCCAACTAGAGCTTTACCTAACTGTGTAAAAAAAATTGTGGATCTTCACCGCACTTGAAGAGAGTTGCAAAAAAATTAGAAAAAGTTGAATGATATTCATAGGCGCCGTGAAGCGGACTTTCAGAACTCTTTAGATAATTGTTCGACATAGCACACGCTGATGTTTTGCAGCTGATGAAGATAGAGGAAGATAAAATATTTTTACAAAAGCAAAGAGAACCAGGGCTCCCAGGATGCTTAGCGGGTGTCGATAAAAAGTTGGCTGAAAAAGAAGAAAGATCAAGACAAAGAAATTAATAGAAGAGAAAAGAATACAAGAACAAATTCGTTCAAATAATTTATCGTCATCTCATACTACACAAAGTTTTGTTCATACACAAGAAAATTGCGATCAGCCTTCCAGCTCTGATGAAAGCCTTGAGGAACCATTGCTATCAACATAAACGTTAAACTCGGGAAATACTCCAAGAAGAGGAAGAAATAAATTTATCACGCCCAAGTTAGTTGCGGCTTTAAACAGATGGGATGGTGAAAGTGTAAGGGATTCTGTCTATATAATTCAGGCTGTGATAGAATCGCTAGGTTTAAACTGTGATGATTTTTGAATAAACAAATCACCTATTCGGGCATTCGAACACAGAGTAGAAAAGATAGAGCGGAATCTATTCATCGGATTTTCAGAATAACATTCCTGAAATGGTGACAGTTCACTAAGATGGAAAGCTATTACCTGGGCCAGACGTGAGAAGTTCAAAAGAAGAACGTCTGCCAATTCTTATTTCATTTGGAGTAAAATAACAACAGCCAGAAGGCTGTGCTCAAATTAGAGAGCTCTTTCGGCCGAGAGCAAGTTCAAGCAGTGTCAATCGATCTTTACGACTGGAACGTCAATGACAAAGTCCAAATTATGTGCTGTGACACAACTGCTTCTAATACCGGCCAATTCAATGGAGCGTGTGTTCTTCTGGAACAAAAACTAGACAGAGAATTACTACTCTTTGCTTGCCGCCATCACGGTGACGAACTGATTTTGAAATCTGTGTTTGAAACAAAAATCCCTCAAGTAACGAGTAGTCCCAATATCCCGATGTTCAAAAAGTTTAGAGGCAACTGGAAAAACATTGATCTACTGCTATCGAAATTAACACCGACTTCATAAAACAACATTTCAGTAATACAATAGTACAGGAACTGCTACATTTTATAATCAAGAACTACAAAAATCTATTGTGCGTGCTGATTATCGGGAGCTGATTGAACTATCTATTGTCTTTTTAGGAGGAAATATTGCGAAGTGAATTAAAATCAGAGCCTCTTGGAGCGATGCGCCAAGCAAGGTGGATGGCAAAAGCTATTTCTAGAGTAAAGTTCTAGCTTTAAAAGCAGTTAATGATACCGCTGAAAGAGCTGTTAAACTAATGCATGATTTTCATGATTTAATTACGGCAAAGGAAGAACAAAAGCAATATTTGCTACGCTGCGTGCAAGAGCACAGAAATATGTATCCAAATTGTAAAAAATAGACTCTCAAGAGAAATATCCGGACTAATTATTTACAACTTTGTGACCTTATGTTTGTAACTTTGTCTTCTTAAAATTAATAAACGTCTAAAATAACTTTGCTTTTGATTATAAATATAAAAAAAATATATTTTTATTGATTTAGGCTACACAGTACCATATTAGTTTAAAAACTGAAAGTTCAAAACTTTAACACGCTGTCGGCACGGGTTAATGTGGTAGTAGGAAGATAAAATTTTGTATTAAGATTAGTCTAGGTAGACGTAAAAAAGTTAGAGGGTATGCATTCCAATTTTCGAAAAAAAAATTTTTTCGTTCATATAAGGGACACCCTATCAAGCATTAAAAATATTACTGTTATTTAAACTTTTTACAAGCAACAGGCGTGTGAAGTAAACGATTCAATTTGTAGATTGATTAGAGAAATTGTTTAGAATTCTTGTTTTTAACTTTCAAAACAAAATGTTGAGACTCGTCCCATTAAGTAAATCTTTTTAATAACTGTATTTCAGCCGTCAGCCATTTGTAATTAAAAGTTTCGCGACTTGAAGAATTATAATAGTTTTTAGTATTGGAATCAGGCCCATCGTTAGCGTAAATTGTTTTAGACTTTTAAATAGTAACGGTGATTACGTTTTGTGCATGACTTGAATTGAAACTGCGTTTAATGTATTAGAAGCGATATGCCTTAATATGTTGTGTTTTGTTTTGACGATGTATTTTTGGCTTACAGTTAGACATACAATTTTAAAGTACAAATTATAAATCTAGATGACACTATGTAGTTACATAAAGGCAGAAATGAATAATCTTTTTAATAAACATATATTTGGTATTACAGCTCTGTATGGCCGTTGTTAATGTTTCAGATTAAACTATAAGAGAATTTTCATCTCGAAAATTAAACAAAAACGAAATAAAAATCTCAAAACTTCAAATCCACTTACCTGATAAACAAAGGCCATTGCGTCACACTAGCCACCACCACCCTTCCCTCAGGTTTCGGCAAGTCACTGAAGATGTAATACATGGTGATGGCGAAACAAATCACCAGGAACACGTTGGCTATCGCCGAGAATGGTACAAGCCACTTGAGGTTCCTGATCTGGCAGATTAGCACCAGTGGGACTAGTGTCAATGCACAGTATGCTTCCACTGATAGCTTGTATTCTGGCATGTACTCGTCTAGGACCTAAAAAATGGAGATACTATGATAAGCATAAACTGTATTGAGACTAGGATACATATGTAACCACCCCTATTTTACTGTAAGTTTCGTAAAAGCCAACTAAATCCGGTTAAGGAACTTCTGCAACTTCTCCGAATTTGTCCTGTGTCCAGATCTGGCTTCTCCCATCACAAGGCTTTTGTAATGTTAATGGATATGTTTGACAGAGAGCTGCCTCGTTGGCCGAGTCTCGGGTCTCGTATTCGATTCCAGGGTCGGGCAAAGTACCCCGTAAAAACCCCGTAGGTTTTTAATAAAAATCCCAGTAGTAGCACGGGGTCTGGAATTGTGCCCGGTATATGGCAATAGGCTCACCCTATTACATGGGACTCATAACATAAATGGTGAAAAGTGGGTGTTACAATGTGTAGTGGCATTAAGTACCGTATTGTGCCTATCCCTTGCACCTTGTCCAGCAGTCGCCCTTGCGATCACTCGGCCAACGAGGCAGTCAATAAATGTACCCTTGTGTAATTTATCGTGAATGTTCTACTATTTAGATGGTCTTATGGCCCGCATTGTAGGAACTCCGTCAAAACTCCAAAATTACTTGTGTAATTTCCTTGTGTAAATGTTAATTGGCATGAGGGTTTCATTATCCAAACTCGCTTATATCTACTAAAATCTCTTGTAAATTGACCTTATCATTAATAAAATAAAACGAAAAATATGTTTTGTCGTTATTGTCGTATTAAAATTCACAAAGTGCAATATAAAAGTAGTCAAATCGCCTATGAAAATTATGGGAGCAAATACTTAAAATCGCAACTTGAATGAAGTTGGAAAATGTTGCTCGCAAAATTATGTAGTCACAAATTAATATTATTACACCTTAATTAATTCGGTTTTCATTTAATTAATTTTATAGCTGTATTAGGAAAGTTTTGCAATAAATAACAACGTTTAGTTGTCTAAGGAATATTTTATGTTTGTTTATACCTTAGATCAAAGTGGAAGCGGCCAAAATTAAGGGTCGGAGCAAGAGCCTGTTATAATCAGTGAGATGGTTTTGTATTAGGGAACATCCAAATATGTATAATAATGTACGCCTTTTGATGATACATTAAGGAACAGATTTATTTTTAGAAATATGAAATCTATACAGATAAATAAAATTGGAATGACTGTTTGTGATAAAACAACCGCTTTTTACTAAATACATAATTATGAATATATATACGATACACATACCAAAATAAAATTCTTTATAATTTTTGTCTACGTGTCCGCACTGGCTAGTCTTTGGAATAGCTGCACCGATTTTGCAAGACTTTTATTGGTAGGAAGCTGATGTACTAAGGCTATTTTGGAAAATTGAAACAACGAAAACA